GCCTGCTTTTCTCAGTGCATCCAATCCACGCTAGTCGCTGAGATAAACCAGAATAAACGTTGATCTGTCAGTGCTAAATAAAACATAAAATGGAACTAGTAAGCTCAACGGAGGAAATGTAAAATACGCACATAAATACAAACGAACGTTTCGACACAAGTTTTTTTATCAACGGAGTTTTAAATGTAACAACAAAAAAAAAAAAACTGTAACTGAAAAACTCAATGGTCTTGGACAAGATAACAGAGCTTGTAAACAGCCAGTGAGTTTACCCTAGGCTGCTGTCTTGTTTACCTCTAACAACGATTGACTGCTGATGAAGGCTTTATGTGGACCTTCGATGCTTCTTATGGGAGAATTAGTTCATTAGGCTGTTCCACAATCTCTCCTGCCTTTAGAGTAGTGCTTCAAGATACAGGCTGAGGTGTGCCAGTCAAATATTGGGTTGTATCTGTGTTAATGTTTTGTTTTGCAATCGGGGTATGCCCTGAGTGTTGAGCCGAATGCAAGCTTGTTTGTTGAGATACTTGTTCGGTGACTAGAGTCGAACGATCTGATCCCATTACACGATGCTGAGAAGGCAGTTGAGTAGACAAATGTGTAGGCGGATACGTAAAGTATTGGGATGCGTCCGTGTTAAAGTTTTGTTTTGCCATCGATGCCTGCCTTGAATCTTGAGTTGCCTGCGAGCTTACTTGTTGGGAAGTCTGTTGTGTAAACTGGGTTGAGCGATCTTCTGACCCCATTACATGATGAAGAGAAGACTGGTTGGCAGACGACTGTGAAGGTTGATTTGTGAAAAGTTGGGCTGCGTCTGTGTTTCGGTTTTGTGTTGGCTGCATTGGCCGTTGTGATGAATTCTGGGTCAGTTGAGTAAACTGAGTTGAATGATCTTCTGACCCTATTGCAGGATGTTGAGAAGACTGTTGGGTAGATAACTGTGTAGGCTGATACGTAAAATGTTGAGTTGTGTCTAAGTTTTCTACTGGCTGCATTGGCTGTTGAGACGTATGTTGGGTCCGTTGTTGAGTAAACTGAGGTGTACGACTTTCTGACTCCACTGCAGGATGTTGAGAAGACCGTTGAGAAGATAACTCTGTAGGCTGATATGTAAAATTTTTAGCCGTGTCTGTGTTTAGGTTTTGTGTTGGCTGTTGTGAGGACTGTTGAGTTGGCTGTTGAGTAAAATCAGCTGAGTATTTGACAAGTTGCTGGGGCGTGGCTTGAAGTTGTTTATTGTTTATTAACCATTGAGGAGGTAGAAGAGTTGGTGAGTGTGGTTGATGCTGAGTCCAGGGTTGTGCAGATGGCTGTATCAACTGTGGGGCTAAACTTTGCGAGGATAATGAGTTCATCTGAGTTTGCGGAGTGGCAAATCGAGGCGACTGGTCATTAAACTGCTGAGTTACATGTGGTGTAGACACATTAAACTGCTGAGTTACATGTGGTGTAGACACATTAAACTGCTGAGATACATGTGGTGTAGACACATTAAATTGTTGAAGGACCTGTATTGGTTGAGCTATACTATAAGTAGTTTTTTCATTATTTTTCCCTGTTGGCTGTTGTTGTTCAACTGATTGTTGGGTCGATTGTAAAGTTGAATGTTGGGTCAACTGCTGAGGTGACTGATCGTTAAATTGCTGTAATGATGGCTGTGGGAATTGCTGAGGGGACGGATAATTAGAATATTGCAATGACTTCTGTGTGGGGGGCTGGGTAAAAGTCGTTTGCATGTCTTCGGTTGGTTGGTTATGATTAGTCGTTATATGGAGGGTTGTGTGTTGGCCTGGTTGATGAGCTGGTTGTTGAACCGGTTGTTGAACTGGTTGTTGAGCCAGTTGTTGAACTGGTTGTTGAGCCAGTTGTTGAACTGGTTGTTGAGCTGGTTGTTGAGCCAGTAGTTGAACTGGTTGTTGAGCCGGTTGTTGAGCTGGTTGTTGAACAGGTTGTTGAACTGGTTGTTGATCCAGTTGTTGAACTGGTTGTTGATCCGGTTGTTGAGCTGGTTGTTGAGCTGGTTGTTGAACCGGTTGTTGAGCTGGTTGCCCTGATGTGTGGTGTCTTAGATGTTGGTTGAACTGTTGTGACGGTGGTGGTTGAACTGGTTGTTGGGAATTGTAAGATGATGATGATGGCTGGTTGGCAAGATGTTGGGATATCTGTGGAACTGGTGACTGGGAAACATGTGATGATGAATTGCTAATGAGTTGTTGGGATGATATTTGAGTTGGTCGATCTGAACTGTGTGGTGTTGAGTAATTATTGAACTGCTGAGAAGATGTATGAACTGGTTGCTGGAAATTCTGTTGGTTTGACTGACTGTTCAAATGTTGGGATATCTGTTGAAGGGATTGTACCGAACTGTGTAATGCCATTTCTTTTGAAATCTGTTGAGAATTTCTGCCAGTGGTTTGCTCTGAATTATGTTGTGTTAAATTGTTAATATGTTGAGATGATTGTTGTACTGGTTGTTGGGACAGTTGTGATAAATCACTGTTTAATTGTGATGGTTGCTGAACTGGTTGCTCTGACGATTGTTGTGCTAAATTACCAGAAAACTGTTGAGAAATGTTCAATGTTGTAGGGGTATATAGTTGTTGGGATGTCTGTTGAACGGGAACTTGGTTGAAGCCATGAGTCGACTGTCTGTAAACTGCCTTGTTGACTGACTAAAACGAGGCTGTTGTGTTAGTGATTGGCCGGAGATATGTAGCGGCGGCTGTATTAAATCTTGTCTTGAATTATCATTAAGTTGTCTCCCGGGTGGTCGATTAACCTCTTGATTTGCCTGTTGTGTGGAATATTGCGATGAACCTTGATCATCTTTTCTGGTAAACAGTGGCTGTGCCTCCTGAACTGACTGTCTTATCTGTTGGCTTGTTTGTTGCGGTGACTGATCAGCTACATGCTGTATGTTTGGTTGCTGATTCGAATGTCTAAATGGTTGCCGGTCCTGCTGGCTAAATAATAGCTGATCCTGCTGGCTAAATGATTGGCCAGAATCTCCATGTGGCTGTTGCGTGATATGTGGGACTTCCCAAACTGTTGTTTGTTGAATCTGTTCCTTTACAGATGTTGTATTCATCATTTGCATGGGTGTTTGTTGCGTTATGCCTTGAATATTATCCCCTGACTGCTGCCACCCTGTTTGTTGGTTAAACTGCGTATTTGGTTGTGAAATATGTTGGATCCGATGTGTTGGGAATTTAGTGATAAGAGACACAGAGTAGTTACTCACATGTGATAAATGTTGTGTTGGGTATTTGTTGTATTGTTGTATTGGTTGCTGGATGGCAGTTGGCTCAGTCTGTGTGTTGAGATGCTGAGTAGGTTGTTGGGATGTATTTGAAGTAGAATACTGAGTTGGCATTTGGTTCATTTGTTGAGTAAAATGAGTGGCAGATTGGGTAAGTTGTTGTGTAGGTTGAGTGAATTGATGGGGAGGTTGGGTATGTTGTTGTGGAGGTTGAGTAAACTGACGGGCAGTTTGAGTAAGCTGCTGTGTAGGTTTAGGTTGAGTAAACTGATGGACAGATTGGGTAAGCTCTTGTGTAGGTTGGGTGAGCTCTTGTGTAGGTTGGTTAAGCTGTTGTGTAGGTTGAGTAAATTGATGGACAGGTTGAGTAAACTGTTGTGTAGGGCGAGTGAATTGATGAGTAGACTGAGACAGATGTTGGTTAGACCGCTCAAATTTCGTAGCCTGTGGATAAAATTGTTCCGCAGGTTGAGAAAACTGATTGATCGATTGCGCAAACTGTTGAGTAGGCTGCGAAAATTGTTGAGTAAGATGAGTACTTTGTTGGACAGTTCTGTTAATCTGTCCAGTAGGCTGATTAAACTGTTGAGTAGATCGTCCATTTTCCTGATCAGAATTGTAGGTAAACCATTTTGAAGTTGGTGTTGTGACAGTGCTTACAGCAAAAGTTGAAACCAGAATCTGCTCATTGGTGGAATGCGAAAATCTGCCATCTTGTTCTTGCCTGATGCTTGCACTTCTACCTGCTGCCTGTTCTTGATTGTTCTCTGGTGGTTGCCTTTGTGAGGTCGCCTCTGGTTGCCGGGAAAGCTGCTGTTGTAGTTGTTCGTACTGCTCTAGCCGTTGCTGTTGTTCCTGATGAATTTGCTGTTGGTTTTGCTGTTGCGAATTATACCTTCTACTGCCTTGTTCTAACAAGTAACTATTTTGGCTTTCATTGGGACTTTTCCCTGGCAAGGATTCATTAGCTGATTGATTTAGCATTCGCTGTTTTTGTATTTGTGTCTCTGTGGGATTATTTCCTTGGGTGATATCACTCGCTACTACTTCTTTTGACTTTGACAACGATGCTGGGAGTTCACTGCCTACAGACATAATTTGCGAAGGACCAGTATTTGATGCCACAATTTGCGCACTTTTCACTTGAGTTGCTGAAAGCCCACGTAATGCCTGAATCAAGGAGGTCTCTGAAAGAGGAATCAACAAGTACTGACCTGGTGCCTGGTAAACCTGGATATATCCGGTGCGAGCCACTCCTGACGGTAACTGTTGAGCTTGCGCGTTAGCTGCAGAATTGGACACAGCTGAAGCATTTGGCGCATGAGATTCCTGGGGACTCTGCTTCAGATTTTGTCTGCTGTCATATGAACTCGTGCCAGACAACAACAAAGGTTGACTAGCTCCAGAATTTACATTTGTTGAAGATGGGCTGTCTTCATTAATAATTCCAGAGTTTATATTCTCTGGGATTTGACTGTGATTAGTTTGAAATGAAGCGTTTATGTTAGCACTGACACCATAATTTATTTGACCAATTCTAGTTGCTATATTAGCTGGAAAACTTTTATCCAATATATTGTTATTCTGCTGGCTAGGGTGTATGGCCGATGCGCCGGAAAATGGAGTCAGCGGTTGTTTTGTTAAATGAGCGTCGTTTTCGTTGATACCACCGTTGTGTCTGGGAATTATGGAGAAATCTTGTTGGGCTGTTGCGTCAAAGTTAGGCACTCTCGCTTGTTTGTTACTGAGAGGTATTGCCGTTACGAACATCACCATTGTTTGTTCTTTGTTCGGGTGGTTTCCTTGTTGGAACACGGACAAAGGAAATTGTGACCTGTGCAGTTGATCTAGATTCTTTCCGCACGGTGGTCGGGGGTTGAACAGTAGCTGTACTTGCCGTGAATATTTTGTGAAGTTGCAGCAGGCCTTGTTTGAGAAGTGATGCTTTCTGTTGAAAGTTCGACCCCACTTTGGGACCAGCTTGATTTTGCGGTTGTGCTGATTGCTCTGGGCGATCTGTAGGATGAAACATTTGCATGCTTTGTATAACATTTGGCATGTCCACAACATCTGCCCTAAGCTGTTTCTGAGCATCGCTGACAGAACTACTGGACTGCCTTAAAGAACTGTTCAATCCTCCAGAGGACAGCCTGGATGCAGGTACTGGATTCTGTTTAGGCAGATCTTGGCCACTAGTAAACAGTTCTAGACTCGGAAAAGATGCTCCACTTTGTAAACTTTGATCTGCCTGATGGGCTGAAGATGGAATTATTCCGTGTAAAGGTTCTAGATGCCCCGGCGCATTTTGATCTGGGGTGGATAGTGGAGCATACTGTGACTGTTTAGGCTGTTGACTTTCACTTCCAACTGGGGTCCCAGCTCTAGCGTTACTTTCTACTAACCCCAGAAACCCACCCAAGGCGTTGATTTCTTCAGGGACTTTTTGTGGAGTAACTATTTCTGCTTGTTTCTGTGGCCTTGGTGAAACTTTGAGGGCAGGAACTGTTGGGGGTGATGTGGGATTTTCATTTTGGGATTGGCTGACTTGAGGACTCTCTGTCAGCAAGCTTCCTGCCAATGCTGCTTCTGCCTTTTTGCCCAGAATGACATGACTAACCAGCTCTCCCTGATAAAGAGTGTGTACAACGTGAGGCTGACCTCCGCTGTGTTGTAAATTCTGGCCAGGAGGTACTTTGTTAGCCCTCTGTAACGGTATATCTGCTTGCGGACCGTTAGCTGGCAAGAAAGGATCTTCGAAAGCAACATTCCTTTGAGGCAGAAGGGGGTTTTCATTTAGTTGATTAGGCTGCCCTGGCTGTTGCTGCAGTGGAGGCCTAATATGCCTGTACTGTTGATACGGGGGGTCCCTGTTCGGACCGTGATAAGGCGGTGGCATATTTGGACCTGAATACGGCGGTGGCATATTTGGACCTGGATACGGTGGTGGCATATTTGGACTCTGATACGGTGGTGGCATATTTGGACTTTGATACGGTGGTGGCATATTTGGACTTTGATACGGTGGTGGCATATTTGGACTTTGATACGGTGGTGCCACATTTGGACCCTGATGGCTGTATGACGGTGCCAAATTAGGACCGTCTTGTTTATAAGGTGGAGGGGGACCTTGCGAACTTTCAAAACCCTGGGGAGGCCGAGGGTAAGTCTGTCCTCTCCGTGGCGCACCAATCAAAGTCCTATGTAACTGAGACAAACCCTGATTAATGTCTACACGTCGCGTTGGAGGTGGGTTATAGTCTCCTGCACCCACACTTCCTGGCATGCCAGCCGATCGTTGATCATTTGCTGCTGTGTTTTTCTTTGCTTTTTGCTGTTGTTCCAGTGAAGCTTTTGTTTCTTGGATTCTGTCTTCCGTCACTTGGCAACGTCCTCGCAGAACCTGTGGGCAACATGAGTTATATTATTACAGTGATTAGGTGCTTCTTACCAGCGCAGTACATGGCGACAACACTAGTCATGCGGCCCTAAACCCTCAGGCTCACAGACCTTCACCTAAGCCTGGCCTTTAGTTAGTTGCGCATCCTTTACAGGACGTTGCAGAACCAACTCCAGCCTTTTTTTTAGCTGTTGTGGTTTTTTTAAGGCAAATTTACGTCCAGTAGTTTGTCTTTGCTTTCTGGACGGTCGGCTTTTCGATACCATTGTCCAAAAAATGCAAGGCCCGCTGGTGGGATCGAACCCGGCACCCCGGCATTACAACGTTTAGGCCACAGACGCCTACAACGCAAAAAGGGTAAATATAGACAGTACTAGCAGTTCGACTAAGCCTTGAGTGAGTACCAGGTGCAGTCCCAGGAAGTAAAGGCAGCCGGCGTGATGCTGACCACATCACCTATCTTGTGCCGATTGGTCTATAAAAATATATAGGTTTGGCCCAATATGCTCTAAATGCCTAAATGTGCGGGAAAAGGACCTTTTTTTTTTTACTGACAGTTCTATTTAGGGCTGCAACCGCGACGACTTTTGGTTCTTCCTCTCCTCATCTTCTTCTTTCTCTCCTCCATCTTCTTCTTGTACTCCTCCTCTTCTTCTTGTTAGTCTTTTGATTCTTCTTTTTTCTTTTCTCTATTTTCGTCTTCATGTACTCTTCCTTCTTCTTCTTCTACTACTCCTCCTCCTCCTTCTCCTGATCCTCCTCTCACACTCCCTCAACCAACTGACGTCAAGCATCCCTGTTCCCTCCCCTCCCCCCCCCTACCCAATCTCATTGAATATATAAAGGCAAAAACGAAGACAGACAGGCCGCAGACAAATGCTAAAAAAACTGCCAAATACTGCCTTTATTTTACCACTTTTGCGGCGTAAGGCGGGGCGAGGGGCCTTAGAGCCTGAGGATTTACGGCCGCATGGCTAGTGCTGTAGCCATGACTGTGCAGGTGAGGATTTTATTTTGCTTCTAACAAAAAAAATCCATAGCCTAACCGAGGATTCTAACCCGAGTCTCTAATAGCTTTAAACATTGACTGATATCACTTATGTCACCAGCACTTACCTGCACCAAGGAATCCACAGTGAGGGAATTGGGTGACCCAACAATGCGCACCGTGGATCGCTGTGCCCGAGTACCCACATACAGCACCGCCGAGTACTCCAGTAGCTCAAGTACCTCTCCGATCTTGAGCCCTGTTGGGTCGTGAAAACTGCGAACGATTTTACCATTGTTGTCCATCTCGATAGCAAGACCTCGCTTTGTGTACATCAGCTGCAGTTGTTGCTTTGTGCGACGCTGGAAAAATTTATACAGTTTGTCGTACAATAGAAGTTTCAAAATTACAACATGTGAGATCAGATGTTTAAGAAATAAAGCGGGGGAAAAAAAAAACAGGAGATAAGAGTCGCCAAGAAAGAACTAAGTACAATGGCGAGCACTTTACTGGTAAATGATTTCATCGAACATCAACAAATCAAATAGTTTCGTCATCTGGTCAGAATTGAATGAAATCAGCCAGCAGCTACTGTCTACTACAAGAGAACAGCAGACGACAAATCAAGAGGCTGACCAAGATAGAGATGGGTAGAGGGAGTAAAATGGACACTACAGGAACTCATTTTGCTGTTAAGATAAGCTATGCAAGTAGCAAAGGACAGGAAATTACATCTGCCTCTTCTCTGCGGTGCTTTGCGGTATAAGCAGTAGTTCAGAAGAAGACAGAAGAAGAAGAATACACAAGAAGTTTGGCTCTCCTTGTCCCAGACAGCCTGTGATCTGTGACTGACTCCAGGTGACCAGAGTATTTAAGTCTTTCTATAGATGTGTGGATGCTTTATCAATATCCTACCCCAAACAGGGGAAATCCACAGGTCACGGGACAGTCTAAAATTTTAGGGGGTGGTAGCTAGGCTGCATGCAATTGTGGGACCTAGGCTGCACTGTCTCGTGGGATGTAGATGGGTTGGGATTAGGGCCAGTTCTGTATGTTTTGGGTCGTTAAAAGCGTCAGAAAGCGGGGAAACCCAGTCTTACCTCCCTCTAAAATGTTGGACTGTCCCGTGACGTCATCTGTGGTAAGATATTAATAAAGAACCGATGTGCGTGTCTGTGAATGCATGTTTGTTAGTATATGTGTACGAACGTGTTAATTTCGGCACAGGTGGATATGTATGTACGGAGATTGTAGGCAGATAGTCATTTAGTGGTATGTAGATCGGTTTGCAGATATTGGTTAGGCTTGTTTCGTTTCATGTTTTTGTGTGGCGTTTCCAGTTTCATTCAGAAGAGGTAGCTGATATTGTCAACATACTCCAACACAGCATTAACTTGGAATTAGCATGTTGTAAGACTGATGGGATATGATGTCAACCTCCTCACTATTCAAGTGCCGACTACTCTATAAAAATGTGGGATGGTCATTTCCACTGAGTTAAAACTATGCCTCGATTCCTTCCCCCCTTCCCCCCCCCACCCTTTTTCCCTCCCCATACACACACAAATGGTTGAGGCATTCTGTTTTCTGTTTACAACTTTTATCCAGTTTGCAATCCAGACGAGATTATGACTTCCCAGATAGTGAACAACCGCAATCAAAACATTGCGTGGTTGAAGCTGTAAAATCTATCCGTCATCATCCCGCATCGACATAGTACAACCTTAATACAGGCTGCTCGTATGAAAAAACACATAGTATCCAGAGATGGAAGGCTCAAAATAGCCGTCCATGACAAGGAAACGGGACAATCAGAGAGAAATCATTGCCACCAAAAAATAACTCAGCCGCTCGTCAGGCTTCTGAAACTGAATACCTGTCTATAAAATTATGAGGCTGGCATTTCTACGGATGTAGAAATGGTACCGCTCCATCTAAATGAGAGCCAAGACAATTTGGAAACAAATTATACGCCTTGATAATTTAAGACTTCTGTATTATTTTATCAATATCTGCTTTCTGCTGCTAGGCGCCGCAATTTAACAGATGATAGTTAGCTGAGTCAATGCTCACCCGGCGGCTTGGGATGCTTTGATGTTGTGAAGTCAGAATGTCAATGATTCGTTCAGACCCTTTTCTTCTAAGTCTCCCGCTGCCTCTTGGCGTTTTCAAATTTGTGTACGCCATCACTGCCGACATCGTTAGATTAATTCTTTTACCGTGGCCAAACCATTTGAGTCTTTGTCAGTAAATATAACAATGGATATTATTCGAATAGTTATTTTAATCTTGTCATTTTTCTTTTGGACTTTAGTCTTGTTCCAGACTTGAGTTTTGCATGCACCTTCGTCTTAGACATCTAGCTTATTTGTAGCGCATACTTTTAGTTCCTTGTCTCCCAGGTGGATGCACTAAACTTTAAGTGAATACCCTTAAATAGTCCTAGGGACAATAAGTCTATTCTCCTCTCCCCTTGTCCAAATAGAGTCTGGAAATCCACACGGGGATAGGATCCAGGAATCCACACAGGGTTAGGATCCTGGAATCCACATGGGGTAGGATCTGGGAATCCACATGTGGATAGGATCCAGGAATCCACAGGGGGATAGGATCTTGCAATCCACACGAGGATCTCATTCCATACTGGAGTAGGATCTGGGAATCCACTCATGGATAGGGTCAGGGAATCCACACATAGATAGGGTCCAGGAATCCACACGGAGATAGGGTCACCGAATCCAAATGGGGGGTCTTATCCCACACGTCGTGGGTTTTTCATTCGTATTAAAAAAAAAAAAAAAACACTCTTAATTATGATAACACAAAAAAAATGACTAACCACTGCCAAGAAGTTTCTAGATGACGCTTTGTTGGAATATTGGTCGGTGATGGAAACCTCTCCCTGGTATCTGGGGTAGGACAGACCCACCCAGTAGGTGCCGCGCCCTGACTTCCGGATATGTTCGGGCATGCCAGGAAGGTTCTCACTGAAGAAGGATCGATGCATGAACTTGTCTTTGCTCAGGCTAATTCTGGAATAAAAGTATGAGTGTAAGTAAGTTAGCATCAACAATTATAGTATGTGTGCCAGTAAGTTGGCATCAACAAATTAAAGTGTGTGTGTGTAAGTCAGTTAGCATCATCAATTAAAGTATGTGTGTAAGTAAGTTAGCATCAACAATTAAAGTGTGTGCCAGTAAGTTAAAATTATGAATATAAAATGGAATGAATCAAAGAAGAGTGAAGAAATAAGAGAAATGTCTGGGAATAGACTGGTGTCAACAGTTACAAGGCAGAGAAGATGCGCTAAAATTGACACATTCTGAGAAAATGTGAACAGAGAATCAACAAAGAGATTTATGAGATTTATCTTCTTCTTCTCTTCTTCTTCTTCTTCGCGTTCACCAGCTGTACACTCTGGCGGAAAGTTCTGGTTGCTCGTCCACTACTGAACTGCAGTCCTGCTCCAGAACCTGAGTGTTGCGTGTGCATCTGTTTTACAGATCTCATTCCCATGAATACAGACTGTTGGTTCCTTGCCTCTCCGGCAGATGCACTCTGACTTCAAAGGAAGCTCCCCAATTAGTCGACTCTTACGACATGCTTGTTGGGTAGGCAGTAAGTCTATTCTTGTTTTCCACACAATGGGGCCCCGGAACCCACACGGGGGATGAGATTTATGAAAACAAAACAAATAATCCACCACGTTCAACCCACTGCGAGCAGTATCGGCTATAATTTTTGTCTGTGTGTTTTTCTTTTTGGGGTTGACAAACTACAATTTAAATCATCCAAACAAATAAATTTATTAATAATATGTATATATATATATATATATATATATATATATATATATATATATATATATATATATATATATATATATATATATATATATAAATATATATATATACGCAAGCACATATAAACCAGACATGGAACTCATGAAACAAATAGAACAACAGACAGATTACCTTAAAATTCTCGCTCTGCCTGCCTCAGACACCAGCAAAGCTTTCCCATCATCAGTGACTTCTAGGCCAGTTGGGTAGGATATGCCAGCTAGAAACTCCTTGGCCTGTCCACTGGTTGCATTGTACGTCACAAGTCTAAATAGGAAAAAGTGACACAATTTATATAAAGGATACTTCGAATGTTGAATTCAGAATCGACATCATGGCACTCAGGACATTCCCATAAGCGCTCCGTCCTCATTTTCAGCAACCAGCCAAGAGATCCATTTCCGACGGCACCACTAACAGTCTGACTGTATATCCGTCTCGCCTTTCCTTTGAGTGTTGAACATTGGCCAGATCCCCTGATATCTTCTCGCAGCCTCTTTCTCCACCCTTATAACATATAGCTTGGCGGGCATCAATTCACCATGAACAGGAGCAAAACCAGCCAGTCTATCTGACCGTCCGTTTCCCAGCACACCGTCATTGGATCCTTCAATGCGTCTTACAGCTGGTACCTGGAAAAATTATGGAAAGACAAGCCGGTTGGTGTAATATTTGTCACGTTAATCATTAAAAGATGTCTGACCAGAGAACTATAGGAGTAGCATAATACACCAAAAAGGATATCAGCATTCAGAGTGGCCAGATACAAGAGGAATGGCTCCAGTTATTTGTTCCCACTTCCGAAGCCGAATAAAGACCACTCAAAGATCTGCGGCTACAGAATCATCTCGATGCAGAATACTGTTGGCACACTTTTGGAGAAAATTGTCGCACGAAGATTGACTACCTACTTGGAACTACTCGGTAAGTTCCCACCAACACTTGGAGGGTACAGGTTGAAAAAAGAGATATGGTTCAATGCTGCAGTTTTCGCCAACTAACCAAAAAGAACTCATCATTACCATCATCATCAATGTCGTTATTATCATCATCATAATCATCATCATCATTGGCATCATCATCATCAATAGGATCATAACCCTCATCATCATAATTATCCCCATCTTCATCAACATCATCGTAATCAATATTACCAATATCATCAACATTATCATCTTTATTAGTATTATCATTGTCGTCATCATATTCATCATCATCATTATAATAATCATTATCATCATCACCATCATTATCAAAATCCTGATGTGCCGTCATACATCGCACGAGGCTAACAGCTAGTTCCCCCTTCCTGTTCAAGTACCTTGGATAGTCTAGGTGATCTTTGAACAGGGTAAAAAGAGCTGGGGGAAGGGGCAGGGGTTGGCTTTGCACACAGTCTGACAGCTATTAAAAAAAAAAATTGCAATTTGTTTTTCTGAGTCCAGTGTAACAAGATTACAATTTTTAGCTAGTGCCACATCCCCCCCCCCCCTTTTTTCTGTCTATACATCTACACATCTATACATCTATACATCTATACATCTATACATCTATACATCTATACATCCATACATCTATACATCTATACATCTATACATCTATACAGTTTCTGGCACTGCACCTTAAAGGAAAAAAAAAAGAATACCCCACTCCCTTCCTCCCTAACAAGCATGTCATGAAAGGCAAGCAATTGGGGCCTTTCCTTCGTGTGTACATATGAGTACATATTCCTGAGCTGCCAGAAACCAACTGTCTGCATTCTAATGTCCACAGCTCCTCCTTCCCCAACGTTTTCTCTATCTTGACGCCCTTGGCAGCTCACAGTGGGAAGACATCATCAAACAGCGTCAACAATCTGTTATTGTCAGTTTGTGTGCTGACACCGCTCTGTGCCATGAAGAGAAGGCTGTTCAATCATCTCGTGTTGTCTTCCTCTGTCACTTTTTCTGTAGATCTTTCCAGTGGTCACAATTTGTTCCAGGTTCCATCTGCTCATAACATAACCTCCCGCCACCTTTTTCCTTTTTAAAGAGCATTTAACTCTTTCACACAAAGGTCCTGGACCACACCGTATATTATCCATGTTCACCTGTCAACACGTTTTGTAAATGTGTACATCTTAAGTTTACTCAGGCAAACTCAATCAGTCTAACACCTGGGAGCTGAGTGGTCTCGACGCATGGCGTCTGTCTTGACTGCTGGAGGTCCCGAGTCCAGGACCCAGGATTTTTTCATGTGGACTTCTAGTAATTACCCACTCTCTCTGGGTAGTAAGGTTGGATGCCCATGTGTATTGTTGCGCACGTAATAAAGCAGCTGGAAATCAAAAAGAGTAGCCTAACGGCGCTGCCAGGCAAAATCTGGAGTTAAAAATCTACCTAAAGTATTTCAAGATCCTCGCTGGTGCTACAGAGTTCGTGCACTGCGCTGAGATTCTGCAGACTCAGGCTTAAGTTAGAAGTAGATCAGAGCCCTTATGGGTTACTGCCATTGTGCTCTGATGTTGATTCGTCGCTGAAACCTTAAAAAAAAAAACCACACAAAAAACAGTCCAACAACACAGTTCGCACACAGTGTGCTGCGTATTTAGACCCTTCAGGTGCAGTATACCCATGCTTTTATTGTCAGCATTATTGATTCAGTCCGGCATCAACTGTGATCTTCTATGACTAAGAGGCATAGATAGATCATTACAGTCTGGGGAGAATGGCACTGCAAGGAGTTACAAGGGGATCTGGTCAGTACTTAACACTCAGGGGAAAGGCAACATACAGTCAGACAGTTACTGGTGCCATTAGAATTTGAATTCTTCGCTTGCTGCTAAAGATAGGGACCGGGCACTTATGGGGGTGTCCTGAATGCTGTGATATCGATTCCTAATTTAACATGCAACATTCAACATGTGACTAAAAGAGCTAAAGTACAGAACATCAAACCTGCCATCGGGTCTTCCTTCAAACCGTATCCAAAACTCATTGTCGTAATCGAAAGTTGGACTGGAATCGCTAAAGACCAGAGTTCCATCTTGAAGGAAGGTGAAGTCGTTGAGGTAGAGGCTAGGTCGACCGTTGACCAAGATGGTGGCGTCATACACAAGTCTGACCACACCTGGAAAAATAGGGAATGTTCACAGGTACAATAACGTATATCTGTACCAGTGGCAAGACTGCATGCAATGGTTGTCACTGTCGCAGATACATTCCGTTGCCAAAGAAAAAAAAAAAAAAAAAAAAAAAAGGGGGAGGGGGGGGGGGGGGCTGCATGGTCTCAAGGCATTGTGTCCGCCTCGAGCACTAGCGGTTCTGGGTTCAATTCCCGGTAAGGGTTGGGATTTTTGTTTACGTGGACTTAGACTTCTGGTAATTCACCCTGGTAGTTTTAAATCAAAGAGAGTAGCCCAGGTAAAATTTGGAGTTACAAATCTACCCAAAGTATTGCAGGATCCTCACCGGTGCTAGAGAGCCTGTGCACTGTGCTGAGCTTCTTCGGACTCAGACTTGAAAAAGAAGAAGAAAGTAGCACTTATGGGTTAGTACCCATGTGCCATGATGCTGACTTCAAACTTCAAAGAGAAATACATTATTTGACAATTAAATAGTGATTAGTGGGGACTATCACAGCACTCCGAACATAATCATAGGTGCTCCGATCTCCCCCTGAATAGGACAAGAGTAAAACGCCCTGTGTGCCCTGGCTACTTCAGGTCGATTCCCCGTGTCCATCATCATGGACAAGGATACAGAGAAGCGTGTTAAAGGACATGACTCCATATCCCTGTCTAGACTGATGGTCATGGGGGTGAAACCTGGTGCTGCCAAAAATGAACATTTCACTAAGGGGACAAGACGTTTCATTAACTAACACAGAACCGGCGTCATCGGTTGTTTTTTACTCGTGGAACTCTTGAGGAGATCGGAGCACCTACGATATGTCCGGAGTGCTGTGATGATAGTCCTTTCTAATCACTAATCACTAAGGATACTGAGCCCTGCTTGCTATCGGGATCTTCTTCGTGATATGTAGTTCGCATGGCATTAGCGATATCATCCCTGTCCAGTGCTGGACTGGTTATGGCAACCTGCCAGATAGTCTGCACGCTCATTGCCTTGAACACCCGCATTACTCAGCCCAAAGATGAGTTAGGCGAGTTATTCGTAAAGCATTTAATGAGAGAATCCATACTTGACGGATGAAACCGCCCTGGATTTTCTTGAGCATATTCACTGAAACGCGCAGAAAGCACGCATGTGTTACTATTTATTCTCATTGTTTACTATTACGCATTATAAGCGCCACTCTGTTTACATCACACACATAGCAAAAAAGAATGCTCGCTGTATGCTTCGCCACTCATGCAGAAACTGTAACATGTGAAAGCTATTAGTTACTAGTACTAAGTGCGCAAGCATACTCTCAACAACGAAGCGACGAGAAGGAAAATATCACATGATACACTCTCCAGTGTGAATCGCTACCTACTAAATCTTACATATGCGAACTGATATCGCGATTTATACTGATATTCTGATCGTTTTATCCATGACCAAAGAATGTATTTCTTTATGATGTTGTCATTCTCTTCGGTGTGGAGATATCGGGGGGAAAACAAGATTAGACCCACTGCCTCCCAAAAGCATGTGTACGACTAACTGGGGAGTTTTTTGAAGTCGTGCATCTGCAGAGGCAAGGAACCAGCAGTCATTCAATGACAGATCAAAAATGCACACGCAACACTGGTTCTGGAGCAGGACTGCAGTCCAGAAGTGGACTTTTACGCCAGAGTGTACAGTGGTAACGCAGTTCTCTTTGTGAGTCAGTTTCTTTCAAGACATCCTCATTACTCTTTTTTTTTTTTGATTCTGCCTAGGGCATTCTCATCATTTGTCTATAAAACAACATCTCTGTAGCTTACAGATAATTTTTCACTAATTTATTTATATATTATTTATTTATTTATGTTTTGTTAGTTTTCCTCTCCAGGTACAGGCTATCCTCCGAATAACAGTCCCAAATTATCGAGGCCGAAAATATAACCTAACAGGGCCTCAGTCACATGTAAATTGTGGACTTTCGGCGACTTAAACTGCGAACTTCCGGCGACAACAGCCACCGCTGAGAGTATCTCCCGTGGAGTGGGACTGAACTAGATGGCTGGGACTCACGAACAGCAGCTATCGCATCTTCTGCAGCTTCCTTCATTTTATTTGCTCGTGAGACTCAGCTATCTAGTTTTTCCCCACATTGCGCCGCGTGTAGCCGCGCGGGAGATACTCTGGGCGGTGGCGGTAGTCGCCGGAAGTCCGCAATTTATATGTGACTGAGGCCCTGTTTGGGTATATTTTCGGCCTCGATAATTTGGGACCGTTATTTCGAGGATAGCCCAGATTCATATTATCTTCTTCTTCTTCTTTGCGTTCACCAACTGTAAACTCTGGAGGAAAATTCTGGTTTTTATCCACTTCTGGACTGCAGTCCTGTTCCTGAACCTGAGTGTTGTGTGTGCATCCGTTTCTACAGATCTGGCATTTGCATGCAGACTTCTGGTTCCTTGCCTCTCAGGCAGATGCACTCCGGACTTTGAAGGAAGCTCCCAGTTAGTCGGTCTCTCACGACATGCTATTGGGTGGGCAGTGGATCTATTCTTGTTTTCCCTATAACAGGGCCCCAGAACCCACATGGGGAATTCGGTATTATGTAGGAGTAGCACACTTCCTGAATGAGGAGGAAACCCTTTAATAGTCCACACTCTCTTCCTTCTCCACCCTCCCCTTCCCTGACATCCGCATCCTCAACTGTGCCGATCATAGAAAGCAGTTCAATGTTTGGCTTACCGCTGTATGGATGCACTTCAAATAATCCTTTGTAGGCATCCAGAACTAGCAGGAGATTGTCCGGACTAAGGCGAATGCTGATCAGGTGACCACAGTCTTTTGCTGTCTCTGTGTGGATGTGAAGATGAGATTTGTATTAGCTGAAGATACTGTTGGTGATGATCAGATTTTTTTTTCATTTTTCTAGAAAAACAAAGGTGCCAGTACCCACCATAAAGTTATGTTTGTACTGTCACTTACACAAAGTCTCTGTTACAAAAGAGTTGAAAATATAAAAATGATGCTTAAACAGATGCTGGTACTGTGTACTGCCAAAATAAAAAAAAAGCTCTGGTGATGATGATTGGTGAGTTGTAATATTAGCACAAGTAGCAAGAGACGCAACAGCAGTAGCAGCAGCAGTAACAGTAGTAGAAGTAGTAATAGCAGCTGCAGCAACAGCATTGGTAGAATTATTAATAGTAATAGCAGGTGTAGAAGTAGTGGTGATAGTAGCAATGGTAGTAGTACTGCAGTAGTAGTAGTAACAGTTGCAGTAGTAGAAGTTGTAGTAGTGGTAGCAGCAGTTGCAAAAGCAGCAGTAGTAGCAACAGTAGTAGTAGCACAAGCAATAGCAGCAGTAGTAGTAGCAGCAGCAGTGGTGGTAGTAGCAGCAGTAGTGGTAGAAGTAGCAGCAGCAGTACTACTAGCAGCAGTTGCAAAAGCAGCAGTAGTAGCAGCAGCAGTGGTGGTGGTGGTGGTAGTAGCAGCAGTAGTGGTGGTAGTAGTAGCAGTAGTAGTATTAGTAGTAGTAGCACCAGCAGTAGATGTGGTAGTAGCAGTATTAGGAGCAGCAGCAGCAGTGATGGTAGGAGCAGTAGTAGTAATAGTAGCAGCACCATTAGTGGTGGTAGTAGCAGTAGTAGTGGTAGTAGCAGCAGTAGTGATGTTAGCAGCAGCAGTAGTAGTAGCAGCAGTAGTGGTGGTAGTAGCAGTAGTAGTGGTGGTTGTAGTAGCAGCAGCAGTAGTGGTGGTTGTAGTAGTAGCAGCAGCAGTAGCGGCGGTAGTAGCAGTAGTGGTGGTGGTAGTAGCAGTAGTGTTGGTATTAGCAGTAGTAGTAGCAGCAGTAGTGGTATTTGTAGTAGTAGCAGCAGCAGTAGTGGCGGTAGTAGCAGTAGTGGTGGTGGTAGTAGCAGTAGTGGTGGTAATAGCAGTAGTAGCAGCAGCAGCAGTAGTGGTGGTTGTAGTAGTAGAAGCAGTAGTGGTGGTTTTAGTAGCAGCAGCAGCAACAGCAGCAGTAGCGGTGGTAGTATTAGTAGCAGCAGCAGTAGTAGTAGTAGCAGCAGCAGTATGGGTGGTATTAGCAGTAGTAGTGGTATTAGCAGTAGTAGTTGTAGTAGCAGCAGCAGTAGTAGTAGCAATAGTAGTAGTAAAAGCAGAAGTTTAGTCATAAAGCAGGAGTTATACAAAATCAAAAATTTATGGAAATACCAACAAACGTACTTTACTTTGATTAGTACAGAATGAGCAAAACTCTCATGTGGCCAGGAGAGAAATAATTCAGAAATCAAACTTACGACAGCCGCGGGTCCTGAGATTGGCCACCACTACAGGTCTGCAGGGCGCCACATTGACAACCTGGCCCCTGTCAGTGACTGCGTACATGTTGTCTGTTGGAGGGGCAGATAAGTTGGACATTTGTTTTACAAAACACGTGTGGATTTAGTATTCAACAACAGCATTAAAAATCACAGTCACTACTGCTTACTACAATTTCTGCTATCATTACTAGCATTCTTACTACTATTATTGTTGCTGCTGCTACTATTGTTGCTGTTACTACTATTGTTGCTGCTACTACTATTGTTGCTGCTACTACCGCTACTACTATTATTGTTGCTGAAGAAGAAGACTAACCAGAACAACAAACAACAACTGCCACTACTTCTACTACTATAATTACACTACAATTACCACTACTACTGCCTCCCCTCCTCCTCCTCCTACTGCTACTACTACTACTACTACTACTACTACTACTACTACTACTACTAGTAGTAGTAGTACTACTTCTACTACTACTGCTGCTTCTTCTACTACTATACTAATACTACTACTACTACAATGCGAACTAACTGCTACTACTACTACTACTACTACTACTACTACTACTACTACTACTACTACTACTACTACTACTACTACTACTACTACTACTACTACTACTACTACTACTACTACTACTACTACTACTACTACTACTACTACTACTACTACTACCACTACTACTACTTCTACTACTTTTATTATTATTGCCTACTACTACTGCTGCTGCTGCTCTAATAATAAAAACATCAAGAATAACTACTCCTATTAATATTATTGCCTATTACCGCTGCTGCTACAATAATAACAACATCAACAACAACTACTACTATTATTATTATTGCCTACTACTGCTACTGCTACAACAACAACACTACTACTGCTGCTGCTGCTGCTGCTACTACTATTACTGCTGCTACTACTACCACCACTACTACTACTACTACTACTACTATTACTACTACGATTATTATTACTACCACTTCTACTACTACTATTATTATTATTGCCTACTACTACTGCCGCCTCTTCCTCCTCCTTCTACTACTACTACTAATACTACTGCTGCTTCTACTACTACTATTACTACAATGCCAACTAACTGCTAATACTACTACTACTTCAAGAACTACTACTAATGCTAATATTACTACTACTACTAACTACGGCTTATATTACTACTGCTGCTACTTCTACTACTACTGCTGCTGCTACTACTACTACTACTGCTGCTACTACTACTACCACTACTACTGACTACTATTGCTGCTACTACTACTACTACTACTGCTGCTGCTGCTGCTACTACTACTACAACTACTACTGACTACTATTGCTGCTGCTACTACTACTACTACTACTACTACTGCTGCTGCTGCTAATACTACTGCCTCTGCTACTACTACTACTATTACTGCTGCTGCTACTACTACTGCTACTGCTGCTGCTGCTGTTACTACTACTACTACATACTGCTTCTATTACTACTGCTGCTGATTCTACCACTACTGCTGCTACTACTACTGCTAATATTACTAATACTGCTGTTGCTACTACTACTGATACTATTACTTCGGTTGCTACTTCTACTGCTGCTGCTGCTACTATTACTAGTATTGTTGTTACTGCTACTACTTTCCATACTTCTCAAACAACTACTGCTAATTCTACTTCTACCAAAAAGGTAAAAAAGGTAAAGTCGGGAGATGTGAACTAGCGTCATTGCACACGGTTATATACTTTAAGTGCTCTGCCACCAGTACTGACAACTGATAAGAACTGTCCGCCTGTGTCGCTGTCCGCACGTAACTCTGTAGCTACAGCGACGTTCCTCCATTTACCCCAGAGTGTCAACTCTGGTACCCATTTCCTAGAGGCTGGGTGAACCCCGGGAACTGCTCGGTTTCGACCGTGGCTGCAGCGAGTCGCAGCTGGATTTGAAAGCGATCCTCTTATCGACTGCGCTAGCGCGGCCCGTCTACTACTTCTACCAGGCGCGACAAAACACTTGAGTAGGTCCATCAACCCTCCCCTTTCCCGCTCCCTTTTACCCAGCAATCAGTCACCATACATATTGTCCAGCAATCAGTCACCATACATATTGTCCAGCAATCAGTCACCATATATATTTCCCAGTAATCAGCCACCATACATATTTTCAAACAATCAGCAACCGTAAATATTGTCCAGCAATCAGTCACCATACATATTTCCCAGTAATCAGCTACCACACATATTTTCCAGCAATCAGCCACCATACATATATTGCAGCAATCAGCCACCATACATATATTGCAGTAATAAGCCACCATACATATATTGCAGTAATCAGCCACCATACATATATTGCAGTAATCAGCCACCATACATATTTTGCAGCAATCAGCCACCATACATATATTGCAGTAATCAGCCACCATACATATTTTGCAGCAATCAGCCACTATACATATATTGCAGTAATCAGCCACCATACATATTTTGCAGCAATCAGCCAGCATACATATTTTTCAGTAATCAGCCACCATACATATTTTCCAGCAATCAGCCACCGTACATATATTCCATGTAGTTCCAGCGGCGCTTTCTTATAAAATCGGATACATTATCTTGCTTGGTCGCTTGTCCTGCGTATTGGATCTGAATCTGCCCAGTGGAGATTTAATATTCTTCTAAGACATTTGTTCTCAAAATTATCAATTTTTTGTGTGTTTAAATCTAGAGCTACCGGTGCTTTCCAGCTCTCGCATCCATTAGTTAGCACTGGGATCACACAAGAGTTTATGATCTTTAGTTTTGTGTGTTTGTTGAGTGTCTTTGACTTGCAGATGTTTGACAGTTTGTTAAAAACACTAGATGTCAGTGTGGCTCAAGAATCTACATGATATATAAATTATAAAGTACACGACAATAAATGCAAACACACCTCCGTAGGACGCATAGCTATGAGGCACGCCAACCTGGTCAGTGTGAATTCGCTCGGCATCAAACAGGGCATTATTGGTGGCCAAAGGGCCAGTTAAAGGTGGTGGAGCGGAAAGTCTGGAATTAAAGTAAAGTGGAAAACGAATTAAAAGACCGTTTTCAATCAATTCACTGGCATATAAGGTGAGACCTATATTGTCTATCCCAATGGTTCTCAACCTTTACAATGTTCTCAACCTTTTAATACAGTTCCTCGTGTCGTAGCGAAGTTCCCAACGATGCAATTATTTTCATTGCTACTTCATTACTACCGCGATCGAAACCTACTGCTGGTAGACCCAGCCTAAAATGGGTACCAGGATTAATGTCCTGGGGAAGTAAAGACGGCCGGGGTAATGCTGACCACATTACCCATCCAGTGCCGATTGGTCTGTAAAAATATGGGACGCTCTTCCCATATTACTTAATAACTACGGTGAATATGTTTTTTGCGATGGTCTTTGGCAACCCTTGTGAAAGGGTCTTTCAAACCCCCACCCCCTCTCCCCCCCCCCAAATGTTTGCGAACCGCTGGTATAGAACAATCCGCCCTTGCTGGGTGATCTGGTTGACATCACACATCCGCTTTTACTTCCCAGGACTGTACTTGGTACCCATTTAAAGCTGGGTCGAACTAGGAGCCTATGTCATTTTTGAAAAAAAGTCAGAGCTTCCGCTAGGATCTGAACCCACGACATTCGGATTCGCAGGTGAGCGTTTAGCCGCTACACTACAGCGGCTTCCCTGGAAACAAAATATTAGCATAATTATCGCCAACACGTTAAAACGAGGCATCAATAGTTTTGTGTTTTTTTATATATATATATATATATATATATATATATATATATATATATATATATATATATATATATATTTATATATGGCCCTTTTCCACGCCTTTAGGCGTATAAGGCATATAGGGCTAGACCTATATTTTTTTAGACCAATCGGCACAAGATGGGTGTTGTGGTCAGCATCACTCCGACCGCCTTTACTTCCCGGGACTGCACCCGGTCCTCACTCAAGGCTGGGTCGACCAGGAAGCCACTGTCGTCATTTTTGAAAAAGTTCGGCTCCGCCAGGGAGCGAACCCACGACCTTCCGATCCGCGGCAAGCGTCTAGCCGCTTAGCAACGACTCTATATATATATATATATTATATATATATATATATATATATATATGATCCTCTGATAGATATTATAATATGTATATGTATATATATATATATATATATATATATATATATAATATATATATATATATATATATATATATATACATATTATAATATCTATCAGAGGAGAAGTTGGAAGTCACAGATGAAATCAAGTGAGCAGCTATGGAGGTTACCAGGTGGATATGAACTTGGAACTGCCATTTACCTGATTAAACTCGCCAACGACAAGAATTACACATATAAAAATGCATAAAAATATAGCAGCTGTTCTCAACCTGTGGGTCACGACCCTTTTGGGGGTCAAACAACCCTAAAACAAGGGTCGTCTAAGACCATCGGAAAACACATATTCACTGAAGTTATGAAGTAGGAAGGAAAATAATTGTCTGGTTGGGAAGTCGCCACAACATGAGCAACTGTATTAAAAGGTTGCGGCATTAACAAGGTTGAAAACCTCTTATATAGAGATTTATTTGACGGAAATGTTGAACTTACTGAAAAGAAACTGCATCTAGGGCAACTCCTACTGCGTACTTCCGGTCAGCTAGCATCAATATGAGGAGCGGGATGTGCAGTACCAGGCTGTTCACGAATTCTGCTTGTCTCAACAGTGACGTAGAACATGACGGAGCCATATCTGTAGAGGTATATGTTTAAATTTTCTCATGAGATCTTTCGCCTTCTCTCTCTCTCTCTCTCTCTCTCTCTCTCTCTCTCTCTCTCTCTCTCTCTCCCTCCCTCCCTCCCTCCCCCCCTCTCCCTCTCTCTCTCTCTCTCTCTCCTCTCTCTCTCTCTCTCTCTCTCTCTCCTCTCTCTCTCTCTCTCGTGTTGTCATCGTCCACTCATCACTCCACACAACATAATAATCTGCACTCTTTGATAATGTGATGAGAAGAAGAACATGAGTACATCGTGACAGTAGGAAAGTTAGAGGGCAGGAGATGCAGAGGGAGACATAGAGAAAAATAAATGTTGGACAGTTTGATATCATGGCATAGAGGATTATTTGTATCAGAGTTGATTGAAAGTACATGAGTCAGAAGTTTGTGGGTAGACATGACTACCAACACTATACGGTATGGACTTTGAGAAGAATATATATGGCTTTTCTGAATAACCTCCATTTTAGCTAAGATGTCTGCTCCTTCGTTTGCCTTAATGTTGCAGTGGCTTGTGAACACATACAGATTCTCAAAGTTTTTAAGATACGAAGAAGAAAAATACAGACATTCTTTGTGTTTTAAATACAGAGAAACGTCTGGCTGAGCTATTTAGAACGCTGGGCTTTCATTCGAGACACCCAAGTTCGAATCCAGGGTAAGATGTTAAATTTTGTTTCTGTCGATGCCAAACATAAAACCCTAACCTGCACAGTCCTTGGCGACTGCACTAGTCATACAGCCCTAAAGGACCCTAAAGTAAAGGACCTGTTTCCGTCAGAAGTTTGGGCATATCAGGCTGGACATATTTTATAGAACCGATCGGCACTTGGTGGGTGATCTGGTCAGCATCACACAGCCCGCCTTTACTTTCCAGGACAGCACCTGGTACCCATTCAAGGCTGCGTCGACCTGGGAGCCGAGGTCATTATTGAAACAAATCCGGTTCTGCCAGGACCCGAACCGATGACCTTCCGATCCGCAGGCGAGGGTCTAGTCTCTACACCACGACGATTCCCTAAAAGGGGTAAATGCATATAGTAAAGATGCCGCCTCAGCAAAATCACCTCTTCTCTGTGCAGAGACCAGAATGTGTTCTAGTTATGCACACAAGCATAACTGACGGGCACATTAATAATAACACTCATGCGCTGAAAGGCATACACACTTATAAACTTGTCAGGTTTGTTGACATTTCTGACGCAACAGCCAGTAAACCTCAGAGGTTTCACTCCACTTCCTTGTCTGCTAACACCCTTTTCTCAAATTCTTTCCTGATGTGTTTGATGCACACGCGGGCACAATACAAATAATAAATAATAAATATACCTCGTATTGGGCGTCGCAGCAGCGTCTGTGGCTTAAGAGTTGCGAGTCCGACTCATTTCAACGTACCGCGATCGAAACCCACTGCTGGCTGCGTTGAATTTTTATCATGGTATGGGGCGTAGCAGGTCGACCCAGCCTAAAATGGGTACCAGGATGGATGTCCTGGGGAAGTCAAGACGGCCGATGTAATGCTGACCACAATATCCATCAAGATACCTTCGCTATGAAATTATATAGGGCTGGAAAATCGGCTAGAGCAAGAGACTTTCAAGCGTGTGTATGTGTGTGTAGTGACTAGGGTGACCTTGTGTACAGGAAGTGCTGATTGATGATGATGATGATGATGAGAACATAACCAAACTTCTTATCTGCGCTCTGTTCGTAACAACACTAACCATGCGGTTTAAATCCCCAAGCCCCCCCCCCCCCCCCCCCCCCCCACCCGTCCCACAACGACCTATAAAGTTGTTAATACAAGCTGGATCGCTTTATTAAAGTTCGAAACTAATTTTATTAGGCGTTCTGAACGTCACAGTTTACTATCATGACCGCTCCGTTTGCGGCGTGTTCTTTAATATTATAAATCATGTTGACACACAGGATCCGAAGAGCGCCAGCAAAACGCACGAACCAGCCGTTTCTACAATGAAAATATAATGCAGCGGAAACATGTACAAATTATGAACAAGCCACAAAGCGCGGAACGTTTTTTCCATTTCTAATTAAGAAAGCACGCCGAATATTCCATTATGTGTGTGGAGAGAAATAATTTAGACAAGTTCCGCTGTTAAAACTATTTTTGCGACATTTGAGGAAAGTGTGTTATTCTTCTCTTGCAATAAGGTGACCGCACGTCCCGTTTTCACTGGAACAGTCCATCTTTTTAGGTGTAGTCCTGTGTAATAAAAATAAAAAGAAAAAGAAATCTACGAATAAGCTCGAGAACAGAATATACACTGATGTATGTAAACCTGATCAGATTTCATAGTTGTAGATACTATAATACAATGGTGACTATTTGACAGAAATTAAAAAGAGGACGGCCATAGCCATGCAAAGATTAAACAGCCTAAAAAGTCTATGGTTGAGCGCCAGCAAGGAGATCAAAATTAGAATGTTTAGAGCATGCATCTTCCCTGTAGCAACATACAGATGTGAATCGTGATCTCCCAGTCCTTAAAAAAAAGAGAATAGGGGCTTTTGAGCTGAAATGCTATAGACAGATTTTCAGAATGTCTTGGACGAAAAAGAGGAGAAATACTGACATCTTGAAAGATCTGAACATCAAGTAAGATTGGCTAATAAACAGCATCCTGTCTCGGAAGCTGAAATATTTTGGTCATACCAAGCCTCGACGGATTGGAAAAAATTATAGCAGAAGGCATGGTACCAGGAAGAAGGGACAGGGGCCGACCAACACGAAGATGGGCACCCGATATAAGTGACTCTCCGAGTTTGAAAGTGCAGGAGGCAGGAAAGCTGGCAGACTGTGATGAGAGCGACGTTAAGCAAAGAACCTGCTTCATGATGATGATGAGATACTATTAATGCATGAAATGTGATTATAGAAATTTTCACTGTAACACGTTTTTTTTATAGTTAAGAAGCATATTGTTTCGTGTAATTTTTGGCAACAATAATTCAGGTTTTAATGCCATTGTCGAGCAAGTAATTAAGCCTTTGTCCTAGTGACCAGGGGGGGGGGGGGAAAGGGGGGGGGGGGGAGAGAAATGACTTACTTGAATAATACTGACATCCTAGATAATCTGAGCATCAAGGAGAATTGGCTCATACACAGCATCTGTCTCGAAACTAGAAACGTCACGGTGGACAGGAAAAACAAATAGTAAAAGCGGGAACAGTTTCAAGAATAGGAGGCAGAGACAGACCTAAGCGAAAGAGGATAC